AGCATGCAGCGGTGAGGTGCCGTCAGCCTCCCCAATGCCCCCAGCCCCCCCTGCACCCCCAAGGGGAGAAGGGCTGGGTGCCCAGGGTGCTGTGCAGTGAGAGCAGTGCCAGCAAGGAAGGCAACCCTGGGGCCAGCCAGCAGGTCTGGGGTGCCAGGAGGTCCCAGATGTGCCATTAATGAGGAGGTACACATGCAGCGAGCCCAAAACAGGCAGGTGCAAATCCAGTATGGCTGTGCTGTGAGGTTCCCAAGGGACCCTTCAACCACCCCATGAGGCACTTCACCAGGCTGCCCAGACAGCCTGCAAACATCTGCCAGGCGATGTCCCATGCCAGCTGGGGCACAGGGAATGGATGGAGCCCTCCAGAGAGGAAAAGAGCCTCCCAAATCCAACCCTAGTGCCCAGCACCTCTCCCACCACCCCTTCCCAGTCCCCCGTTCTTCCCTCTCCACCTCAGCAAGCTTCCCACAGGGGCTGGGGCCCTGCCAGGTGGGACGGACAGACAGACGTGGTTGTCCTTACAGCCATTGAGGGAGCCCTCGTAGCCAGCTGTGTGCAGGGCTTCTCTGCTGCTGGCCGAGCTGCGAGGGGGTGTCCAGGGGTCTGCATAGGAGTTGGACCGAGCCTTCATCTCCTCCCTCAGGATCAGCCTGCCGATGCCGCTCTGGATCTGGGCAGGCAGGAAAAGCCGCTTTGCACCCCTCCTTTCCCTGCCTGGCCCTCCCCGACAGCTGGCACATCGTGGCAGGGCATGGCACCTCCCAGCACGAGCTCGGCATCTCCCATCTGCTCCCCTGTTCCTGGGGACGAGCTGCTGGGGTGGGGTGCCTCGGCAAGGGGATGCACTCCCCCTCCTTCAGATCCCATGCTGGGGGTGGCCAAGGTGGGGGAGATGGCAGAGGGCAGCAGGGACAGTAGTGGTCCCTTCTTGGGTGGCAGAGCTGGGCTGGGCCTCCTCCCCAAAGCCAACCGCCACGGGGGCAGCTTGCTGCCAGCTCCTCCCTGCCAGGCTGCAGGCAGGGAGATCACTCACCTTGTGCATGCCCCGGTCGTACCCGTCCTCCTCGCCTCCTGATGAGAACCTCCGGGCCCGGGGGGCTACAAGGAGACACGTGGGGAGGGTCAGATGGGGACAACGGTGGAGGCAGGTAGGGAGAAGACAGTCCCCAGCTGCATGCGGACAGCTGAGTCCCAAGCACTGCGAGCATTTTGGGGTCACTTTTGCAGGTTTCTTGGCCCAACCCCGCCTTCGGGTCCAGACCCAACTCGTGGCAGGGGGTCCCTCCCAGGGAATGGCTGGTTTGGGGGCAGGAATGGGTTTCCCTTTCCCCCAGCCCAATGGGAGGCTGTTACCTTTGGGGGAGCCTTGGAAGGACCAGTACTCCGACTCGGAGTGGTAGTATGGGTCCGGGGAGTAGGCAGGGCTATACTTGGATGACTGTGCAATGTCTTCACTGGTTTTGCTTTTTGTGGCTGCAGGGAGGTTGTCTGCAAAAGGAGCAGGCAGAGCTGTAATGAGGACCCCCAGTCCCGCCAGCAGGACTTGCAAAGATCCACCCCAGGATGAAGACAAATCCTCTTCCCTCCCCTCTCCCCAGTGACCGCCAGCATTTTATGTCTGGGACAGCATGGAGCAGCGCTGGGAATAATCTATTTTCAAACTGCTGACACCTCCTGGAAACAAGGGTGCAGAGGCAGATGGTGGGGACGGTGACAAGCAGAGGGGCTGTCGCTGATGCGGCTGGGAAGGGACCCAAATGGCTCATAGCCCACAGCACCATGACAAGCTCTGGCTCCTGCATAGTGCTCACCCTAGCCCCAGTACCACCAACCTCCCCGTGCCCCTGCGCGCCAGGCTGTCCCGTCACCCAGAGGGCTGTAACCGCACAGGCAGGAGGGGATGGAGGAAGGGACAGAAAGGGCTCTCGGGGGGTTACTGCCAGGGGAAGGTGGCAGTGGGCTGTGCAGTGCGGACGAGCAGAGGGGTGACCCCAGCAGCTCCGGCTCTGGCAGGGGCTCGACCCCCCAAGGCAGGGCCACACAGAGAGCTCTGCGTAGGCTGGGGACTGAGCCTCAGCAGCACACATGAGAAACCCAAGGGTGAGCCCTGCTCCTTTCCCCCAGAGGCCAGGAGACTCGCAGGGGAAGGAGCACCAAGGACAGGCTGTGTGGCAGAGCCATCCCACCACCTCAAGTGGGTGCAGGGGACCCTGCCAACCGCAGCTACTTACAGCAGTGGGTGCAGCCAGCAGCGGGGCGGCGGGAGTTGGGCAGGTGGGAAGGGAGAGCCCAGGGAGAGAGAGGAGACACAGTTACTGCTCGGGGGGAGCTGATGTCCCTCTACGCGCAGAAGCAAGCAGGGACAGTGCAAGCCAGCCCTGCTGAGAGACACCAAACCCCTGTGCCTCCCTCCTCCCCACCTCAACACCCCCCAGGCCCATTTAATCCTGGAGCATCCATCCAGGATGAGCTGTGATTCTTCTCCAGGGCTCCATGTGAAACTGCAAATTAACTTCATCCTTTTCCCAAGGCTGCTCTGGCTCCTGGCATCAGCAAGCAATGCCCACCCTCATCCCCTCTGCCACCCCTCCATGGCCTCACTCCCCCTCCCACAGCTATCCCTGTCCCCAGCGCTGCTGACAGCCTTCGCCTCCATTCCTCAAAACAGGGATGTGGTTCAAAGCTGCCTTTTACTTGCACCAAACCCTGCGCTCTGCTGGCTGCAGGGGAGGCAGGAGGATCAGCCCACCAAAGCCCAGTGCCGCAACATCTCACTTTGATGCCTGCTCCCATCTCCTGCCCTGCCCCTAAATGCAACTCAGCCAGACCAGGCCCCGCACTGGTACCCTGCCCCGCTTCCCCCGCGGAGCAGAGCCCGGTGCACAGCAGGCAGACCGTACCGTGTCGCTTATAGATGGGGGGTTTCCGGTAGATGTTACTCTCGCCGGCAGCTGGTAGCAGAAAGAAAGAAAGGAAGGGAAGAAAGAAGGAAAGAAGGGAGGAAGGGGAGGTCAGCGTGGGTGTGCTGAGAACGGACAGGACAGAGGTCCTGCAGGAGATGTTATCCCCACGCTACATTTCCATCACACAACCGCCTCCGGGTCCATGTGTCCCACGGGAGTGCAGTGCCAGGCCAGGGCCAGGCAGGCTCCAGGATGGGCAGCGGAGGCGCGGTCCCGGGGCTGCCCTCGGGCAGCGGTGCGCACAGAGGCCATGCAGTGAGCCCCAGCGTCAGCATGCACTGTGGAGCAGCGGGCACTGCCGGCCCCAGGAGGGAGCGGCACAGCCAGGAACCACCGGCCACCCCTGCCAGCCGGCAGCAACGCACCACGGCTCACACTGGTGCAGTTTCTTGGGGGTGCCAGCGCCTGGAAGAACCACCTGCAATCTACCTGGGGGCGAAACACCATCAGCCAAAGCCTCTTTCCGCAGCAGAGAGAGAAAAGAGCGAGCTGGGAGGGAAAGCGAGCTGGAGCCTGGCGCTGAGAGCTACGGTCCCCGCGCAGGGGCCAGGCAGCAGAGCTGGCGGAGCAGGGAGGGGGCCATCCATAAACCACCGACCGTCAGCGGGAGGTCAGGGCAGGGCAGGCAGTGGGGCCGAACCCGGGCAGGGATGGGATGGAAGCAGGGGACAATGGTGGGGAGCCTCTGGGTGTCCTCATGGTGCTGTCCCAGGGCATGAGCTATAGCTTTGTGGAGGGTTCCATGTTCTGGAGGAGGGCGAGGACAGCGGGAGATGCCTATAGCTGAGCAGGGTGGTCTGGGGCTCTGGCCCCCCTGCGCATGCTGAAGGATGGATGGGCAGCTCTGCCTGCTTCCCTCCCCACTCTCCCATTCTGCCCGCTCTGTCCCCGTCCCCATGGGCTCTGAGTGGCTGGGGGCGGGGGGGGGGCCTTCCCCGGGGGGCCCCCCG